TTCCCCAAGTACTCCCTACAGGTAACCATTCTTTTTTGTTTCTGGTTTACCTTATGTTCCCTTTGTACAAATGAGCAGATACAAGTGTAGTTTATCATATCCTCTTCTTTGTTACACAAATGTTACATTACACTCCTGGACATTTTGCCTTGTCCACTTTCAGAGTGCCCTGGAAAACACTCTGTATCAGCTCATAGATCTTTCTTTCTTTCTTTCTTTCTTTCTTTCTTTCTTTCTCTTTCTTTCTCTTTCTTCTTTCTTTCTCTTTCTTTCACAGCTGCATTGTTCTTTATTGTGTATGTAATCATTCCCATATACATGGACATTTATTGTTTATTTATTTATTTTTTATTTTTAAATTTTTTTTATACATGGACATTTAGAGGGTTCTCAGTTATTAGCAATAGCAATGCTATAGTGAATAATCTTGCACTTACATACTTTCGTATAGAGGTGTGTCTTCAGAGTCCTATATTCCTAGGAGTGAGATTACTGTCTTGAAAGTATATACATAGGTTTGCTAGGTATTTGTCAATAGTTGTGTTAGGTCTGTCTTAGATATTTCCTTCTGCTATTGGTTTCTAATTTTAGTCCATTGTGGTCAAAGAAAATACGTAGGATGATTTCAGTCCTTTTAAATGTATTGAACTCTTTTTTTAAAAATTTTTTTATTTATTTATGATAGTCACACAGAGAGAGAGAGAGGCAGAGACACAGGCAGAGGGAGAAGCAGGCTCCATGCACCGGGAGCCTGACGTGGGACTCGATCCCGGGTCTCCAGGATCGTGCCCTGGGCCAAAGGCAGGCGCCAAACCGCTGCGCCACCCAGGGATCCCCGAACTCTTTTTTTTTTAAAGATTTATTTATTTATTCATGAGAGAGACACACACACACACAGAGAGGCAGAGACACAGGCAGAGGGAGAAGCGGGCTCCATGCAAGGAGCCCGATGTGGGACTTGATCCCAGGTCCCCAGGATCACACCCTGGGCTGCAGGCAGTGCTAAACTGCTGTGCCACCAGGGCTTCCCGTATTGAACATTTTTAATGGTCCAGGATATGGTCTGTCCTGGAGAATATTTTACATGCATTTGAGGAATATATGTAATTCTGTTGTTGGATGGAATGTTCTATACTTAGATCTGTGATGTCTGTGGAGATTTGATAATTCCAGCCTTCTGTTTACTTTGAATCTTCTGCTTAGTTGCTCTATCCAGGATTGAAAATGGGATGTTGAAACCTCCAGCTATTATTGTGGAATTGTCTATCTCTTTAATTTGCTTCATGTATTTTGAGGCTCTATTTTTAGCTGCAAAAAATGTTTATATGTCTTCTTGCTGGATTGACTCTTTGATCAATATAAACTATCCTCTATCTCTAGTAATAATTTTTGTCTAAATTCTACTTTGATATCAGTATTGCCGCTTTAGGTTTCTTTTTGTTGCTATTTATGTGATTTTTTTTTCATCCTTTTTTTTTTTAAAGATTTTATTTATTCATGAGAGACAGAGAGAAAGAGAGAGGCAGGCAGAGACACAGGCAGAGGGAGAAGCAGGCTCCATGCAGGGAGCCCGATGTAGGACTCGATCCTGGGTCCCCAGGATCATGCCCTGGGCCAAAGGCAGCGCAAAACCACTGAGCCACCTGGGCTGCCCTTTTTTCATCCTTTTACTTTCAGTCTATTTGTGTCTTAGAATCCAAAGTGTGTCTCTTATAGATGGCATCTAATTGGGTCGTGTTTTTATTCATTCTGTCAATTTCTGCTTTTTTTTTTAAATTTTTATTTATTTATGATAGTCACAGAGAGAGAGAGGCAGAGACACAGGCAGAGGGAGAAACAGGCTCCATGCACCGGGAGCCCGACGTGGGATTCGATCCCGGGTCTCCAGGATCACGCCCTGGGCCAAAGGCAGGCGCTAAACCGCTGCGCCACCCAGGGATCCCTCAATTTCTGCTTTTGATTTTAACGTGTAATCCATTTCTGTAGTTGTGGATAAAGTAGAATTGTTTCTCTTTTTTTTAAATTTTTATTTATTTATGAAGTCACAGAACGAGAGAGAGGCAGAGACATAGGCAGAGGGAGAAGCTGGCTCCATGCACCGGGAGCCCGACGTGGGATTCGATCCTGGGTCACCAGGATCACGCCCTGGGCCAAAGGCAGGCGCTAAACCGCTGCGCCACCCAGGGATCCCCAAATTTTTGTTTCTTTTTTTTTTAATATTTATTTATAATAGTCACAGAGAGAGAGAGAGAGAGGCATGTAGTTGTGGATAAAGTAGAATTGTCCTCTGGTCATTTTGCAATTTGTTTTCTTTTTTTTTTTAAAGTTCTTCCCTAACATATTTTTATTTTTATTTATTTATTTATTTTAAAAAATTGTATTTATTTATTCATGAGAGACACACACACAGAGAGAGAGAGAGAGAGAGAGAGAGAGAGAGAGAGAGAGGCAGAGACACAGGCAGAGGGAGAAGCAGGCTCCATGCAGGGAGGCCGATGTGGGACTTGATCTTGGGAGTCCAGGGTCACGCTCTGGGTCGAAGGCAGGCACTAAACCGCCGAGCCACCCAGGGATCCCCTGCAATTTGTTTTCTATTTGTCTTATGTCTTTTTTGTTCTTCTGTTCCACCATTGCTGCCTTTTCTTGTATGTTAAATATTTTTCAGAGTACTATTTTAATTCCCTTGTCTTATTTATTTATTTAGAGATAGCATGCACGAGTAGGAGGGGCAGGAGGAGAAAATCTCAAAAGCCAGATCCACACTCAGCATGGAGCCCAACATGGGGCTTAATCCCATGACCCTGAGATCATGACCTGAGCTGAAATCAAGAGTTGGATGCTCAACTGACCAGGCTACCTAGGCACCCCTCTTTTACTATATGTTTTAGTTATTTCCTTAGTGATCACCCTGGGGATTATAATTAACAACATATAACAATCTAGTTCATGTTAATTCTTTTTTTTTTTTAAGATTTTATTTATTTATTCATGAGAGACACCAAAAGAGAGAGAGGCAGAGACACAGGCAGAGGGAGAAACAGGCTCCTTACAGGGAGCCTGATGTGAGACTTGATCCCCAGACCAGGATCACTACCTGAACGAAAGGCAGATGCTCAACTGCTGAGCCACCCAGGCATCCCTCTCTAGTTCATATTAATTCCAACTTAATTTTAATGTTGTACAAAACTCTGCTTCTATATAATACTCTGCCCACCTCTTCCTTTGTGGTATTATCATCATACAAATGTCATTTTATGCGTGTATGCAGGTCATGTAGGAACAGATTCAAGCCCACTAGCATGAGTTCAGTGGAGATTTCTACTTTGCCCCTTAATCTCATCTCCTCTTTGCCCCTTAACAATTTAATCCTTGGGCAGCCTGGGTGGCTCAGTGGTTTAGCACCACCTTTCTCTCTTTCTGTGTCTCTCATGAATAAATAAATAAAATCTTTTAAAAAAATTTCATCCTCATATTAAATCTCTGTCCACTTCTTTTATTTCTATAGACATTTTCAGATCTCTTATATCTGAGGAAACGACATATTCACACTGACCAACCAGTGCCATCATATATAAACAGTTTTCTCCTTAGAACTGTAGGATCTCTTGTTGCATGGGACCTCAAGAAGATAATTCAGTCACATAGTTCCTAATTCTAGTTTCACATCAGAATTTCTGAGTTTGGGAGGCTTTTCTTTCTTACTGGGTGTTGCCTGGGGTTCATTTCAGAACTTCTGATAACAATCTCATTCTATTCTTTTTATTCTTTTTATGCTTTATCGTAAGAATTGAGGAGAAATTGGATTAAATGACTATAACTTCTAGATTGTGTTGAGTAAATGTTCTTAGTCCTAAATTCTAAGTGGTATCATTAGTCTGCAGCTTATAATTTTGGGAAAGAAGAAAAGCATTAAACCATGTTAAGAAATAAACATATTAACACAGGCATGTATTTCCTCATCCTTCTCAGTTTAATGTGTGCATGTGACTATATGTGTTTCCCTAGGATCATAAGTGTTTTTTTTTTAAGATTTTATTTATTTATTTATGAGAGACACAGAGAGGCAGAGACATAGGCAGAGGGAGAAGCAGGCTCCCCACAGAGAGCCTGAATGCAAGACTTGATCCCAGGATCCCAGGATCATGACCTGAGCTGAAGGCAGACACTCAATCGCTGAGCCACCCAGGTGTCCCATGTGTGCAACTTTCTAAGCCTCCATCCCTTTGTCTATAAACTGAGGATATACTTCTTGAGTTTGTAGTGAGGCTTAAATAAGTTAGTGCTTGTAAACTATTTGGAAACCTTACCGTGGCCAGGCAGTACTTCAAGTAAAGTGCTTAACACATTTTCTTTGGATAAAAGTCTCTCTTTTATGGTCTGATTGAAATTACTCAAATCAGATCCTGGTGTATTGAAAACCATGTTACTCACATGACACATATTCATCTCAATAATGACCAGAGCCCTCAGGTTGTAAATATAGCTGCTCTGCTCTTAAGGCACCCATTGTCTTGTTTAGATTTCTGGGGTCATTTGCTCACAATCTGTATGAGAACAGATGGAATCTGTGGCATAAGTTATGTAGTTTTGGGATGAGAACACAGAATAGTTGATATTTTTAAGAGATTCTTAATAACCAAGAGAAATGTTTGCCAGCCAGAATTTCTACTGAGAATCATTTATTGAAGAAGCAAATCTCAATGAGTTTGATCATCTAACCATTGGTTTCTTACAGTATCAGCATTCTCCTCCACAGGATGATACTTGAAGTGACAACCATTATGTTTCCCTTAATCATCTGGGGATTCAGACAGATCTATAATTCTTCATGGTAAATTCAGGAGTTTTCCTGCAAGGGAATTATCTGCTTAGAGAAATCAAATTTGGGAAAATTAAGAGAAAACCCACCACATTGATAACCACACCCATAGTCCTGCTGGAGGAATGCTAAACAATTATTCTATGAATGAGAAGGCAAACTAGAGACATTCTAATTTCAGTGAAGAACAAGAGCACAGAGTGGACTTGGGAAGAGAAGAGGAGAGCTAAAGATGCAGATGCCTATGTGAGTCTTTGAACCCCAGGAGAACCATGAGGCAGAAAAGGTGGAGGGTAGAGGCACTGAAGTTGGTGTATAACAGAGTCTGGTCAGAGCCATGTGAGGTGCCATGGGCAGCATAGAAAGAGGTGTTAAAGAATGGTCTGAAGGCTGACCAGCCAGGTCCAAGACTCAGCCCTGCCTGCTCCTAGCTGTGTGGTCTTGGGCAAGTCACATCCCTCTGTAGAGCTCTCCATCTTTCAGTATGAAATGTAGCTAATAGCAACACCTTACTCATGGTGGGGGCTGTAGAAACATGGCGGAGGAGATACAGGCAAAGCATGTGGCACAGTACAAGGTACACATACCTTAATCAGTGTATTGATTGGCAGTCAATCAATGATAAGTGTTAGTCCTCCCATCAAGGATATTGTGTTTTTTGTTTTTTTAAGATTTTACTTATTTATTCATGAGAGACACAGAGAGAGAGGCACAGACATAGGCAGAGGGCAAAGCAGGCTCCATTCCATGCAGGGAGCCCGACGTGGGACTCAATCCCCGGTCTCCAGGACCACACCTTGGGCCAAAGGCAGCGCTAAACCACTGAGCCACCCAGGCTGCCCCTAAGGTTATTGTTATTTTCTTTACAATCTCGTTGAAAACCGTTTCCATTGCGCTTTGGTAAAGGGCTTCGGGAGGGGCCATTGTTCATTCATTCATTCATTCCCTTTCTCCTCACACTATAGCCACCCATTTTAATGAGCTTAGTGTCTCTTTTTTGCTTATGTGTTTATATAAACTATGTATGGTTTGTGTTTATTTTTAATCTACATAATGTTATTGAGTTACTTGAATTATTCTGTCTCTTGCTTTTTCTCTCAGTGCAATATTTTGAGACCTACTCATGCTGCTGAATGTACATCTGATTTATTCTGAGAGCTGCATGGAACTCCATGAAGACACCTTCCACAGTTTACTAGTTTATTTCTGGACTAGTCTCACCCAGGCTGCCCCCCAAACCTGCCACTTGCCACCATGAATGACACTGCAGTAAACATGTATGTCACTTTACAAAGTTATGAGAGAATTGCTTTGTGATTTCCTAGGTTTGGAAATGCTGTCCCAGGAGATATGCATGTATCTAATTTCTTACTTTGCCTAAGAAGTGGTAGATTTGTCCTCAAGAGTGGCTATAACAGGGGATCCCTGGGTGGTGCAGCGGTTTGCGCCTGCCTTTGGCCCAGGGCTTGATCCTGGAGACCCAGGATCGAATCCCACGTCGGGTTCCCACATCGGAGCTGCTTCTCCCTCTGCCTGTGTCTCTGCCTCTCTCTCTCTCTGTGACTATCATAAAAAAAAAAAAAAGAGTGGCTATAACAGTCTTCTCTGTTAACACATGTTATGAAGCTATAGCATTGGACATGACCCAGCTTTCTGGTGTTTGCTAATATAACAAGTACAAATTGTTCTCTCTCTTTTTTTTTTAAAGATTTTATTTATTTATTCATAGACACACACAGAGAGAGGCAGAGACACAGGCAGAGGGAGAAGCAGACTCCATGCAGGGAGCCCGATGTGGCACTCGATCCCGGGTCTCCAGGATCACACCTCAGGCTGCAGGCGGCGCCAAACCGCTGCGCCACCGGGGCTGCCCACAGATTGTTCTCTTGTTTCAATTTGAACTTGTTTGGTTACTCATGAGGTTTTGAACATCTTTCTTATGCTAATTAGTCTTTATCTTTCTCGTATAAAACCATAGCCTTTGCCTATTTTCCTTTTGGTTTACCTTATATTTTCTTGCTGCTTATTTGCATACACATTCTCAATATTAACTTATTGTTGTTTTTGGGAATGGCAAATATCCTCCAGTTCTGTCAGCTATCTACTAACTTACCATAATGTCCTTTACTTATCAGACATCATCAGCCCAACAAAATATTGATTGGGAATGAAATGAATTTTTAGAATAGTTTAGAAAAAACGAAGTCATATTACTTAAGTTATAACCTAGGAGTATGGACTGCCTCTCTGTTATTCATATGATTTCAAATATCCTTTGAGTTTTAAAGTTTTTTCTTTGGAAGTCCCGAGTATTTTTATTCTTATATAGTTAATTTTTCAGATATTTCATAGCTTTTGTTTCTATTTTGAGTGATGTGTTATTGTTGACTGATCTTGCATCCAGCACAATTGCAGTATCCCCTTAATAGTGTTAACAATTTGTGATTAAGCCTGCCTTCGGATTGATGATTATAGTGCCTTCATTTTTGTCTTAGGCAGGCTTGAGTGCCATTTAGTAAACAGACAAACATGAAACAGACTTGAACAAAATAAAAAGTTCATTGCTTATACACATAATGGTCCCTGGGGCAGGTGCTCTGTATTGGAGAACAGCTGTTTTCCAACCAGTGCCTCACAGACAGGCTTTGTGATGATTGATTTTATGTGTCAACTTGGCTGGGCCATGGTGCCCAGATACTTGGTCAAACATTATTCTGAATATTTCTCGGAAAGTATTTTTGTGTATGATTAACATTTAGTATTTAATCTCATGGCCAACAGACATATGGGAAGATGCTCAACATCACTCATCATCAGGGAAATGCAAACCAAAACTACAGTGAAATATCACCTCACACCTGTTGGAATGGCTAACATAAAAAACTCAAGAAACAACAAGTGTGGCAAGGATTCAAATAGGAACCCTTGTGCACTGTTGGTGGGAATGCCAACTGGTTCGGTCCCTGTGGAAAACAGAATGGAGGTTCCTCAAAGAGTTAATTAAAAAATAGAACTACTCTATGATCCAGTAATTGCACTACTGCTATTTACCCCAAAAATACACAAACACTAATTCAGGGGGATTCACAGACCTCTGTTTATAGCAGCATAATTTATAATAGCTGAATTATAGTAGCCTGAGTGTCCATCAATAGATGAATGGATAAAGAAGATGTGGTATACATATAAAATGGAATATTACTCAGCCATAAAAAGAATGAAATTTTGCTGCTTGCAGTGACATGATTGGAGCTAAAGAGCATAATGCTAAGCAAAATAAGTCAGAGAAAGACAAATCCCATATGATTTCACTCATATGTGGAATTTAAGGAAACAAAAAAGCAAAGGAAAAAGAGACAGACTAAGAAACAGACTTTTAACTATAGAGAACAAATTGATGGTTACCAGAGAAGAGGTGAGGGGGGAGGATGGGTGAAATAGCTAATGGGGATTAAAGAATACACTTATGATGAGCACTGAGCAATGTATAGAATTGTTGAATCACTATATTGTATACCTAAAACTAATTTAATACTGTATGTTAACTACATTAGAATTAAAATAAAACACTTAATTTAAAAGAACATTTAACATTTAATCTCAGATTACTTGCCACAGTGTGGATGGGCCTCCAATCAGCTGAAGGTCTTTTTGGAACAGAAGACCAATCTCTCTGAGCAAAAAGAAATTCTGCCAGCAGACAGCTTTCAGACACCATCTAATTGATATCCTTAAGATTAAAAGCATCTCTTTGAAGTTACAATTTTGAAAAAGACATAGGACCAGAGGTTTATATGGAGAGGACTGTGATTGAGATATAAGAGGAAGGGATTCATCTGGGGTTTTTTCTGAATTAGCCCAGGTCAAAGGAATCTGACAGAGGTAGAGGGAACATGAGTTCTCTTTTATTACCCCATCATGGAAGTGCCCAAAAGTACGATTTTCCTCTAGTGCAACTAGAGAACTTTCAGGTTATAGACCTTCCCCAAGTGAGTAATGTGTATGCTGGTCTGTATATCAGTTGAGCTTTGTCAACTTGTCATTGAGATTGCATCAGAAAATACTGTCATAAAATTATTACAAAAATATATAATAGTCTTTTACCTGATTTGCCTTCTACATTCTTTTTATTTTGTTCCAAAATGATTTTCCCTGGTCTTATTTCTGTGCCTCATAACTCTACAATGATCTCTATGGCATCAGCTGAGTTCTTGCTTTGGCCTATTATCCTAGAGTCAAAGACAAAATACCTAGGCAAGAGCTAAGCAAGACCTGGTCCATTCACTCACAAAATAAACTTTTATTAGTTCCAACTAGTATATTTTGTCAATATCCCAGAAATTTGGTATGGCAAGGAACATAAAGGGTGTACTGGTTGTTCTTTATTACTAAATTATTAGGCTAAAATACTTTTATTTCCCCCAGAGGATACTATTTTTGAGATGGCTGGGAAAATTTAAACGTGAAATACATACTAGAAGATGACAGGGAACTAATTAGATGTGATAACAGCATTGTGGGCATGTAAGGAAATGTCCACACTTCTTAGTAATATGACATGATGTGCAAGACATGTGTTAATATACTTAGGAAAAGAAAAAAGAAATGAAGGAAATGTGGCAGACACTTTATACTTCATTGGATTGATATGATAGACATATATTTTATTGTATCTAGTTTATAAATTTATAAACTAGAAATTTTTTATAACAAAGCATTTAAAACTCTATAATATCAGTATATTTGGTTTACTCCTAAAAATGAAAAATGAAAGTGACTTTACTTACACATGGTCCATCATACAGTTTAGTTATATTAAGCCCTTTGTATCTGAAAGAAATTATATTTTGAAATGATTATTTTTCTCTTAAGGCGTATTATAAATTATAACTAAATTTCACTTGATAGGGGTGCCTGGGTGGCTCAGATGGCTAAGCATCTGCCTTTGGCTCAGTTCATGATCTCCAGGTCCTGGGATTGAGCCCCACATCGGGTTCCCAGCTTGGTGGAAGTCTGCTTCTCCCCCTTCCTCTCCCTTTACCTCTCTTCCTGCTTGTGCTCTCTCTTTCTCTCTCAAATGAGTAAATAAAATCTTTATGAAAAATAATAAATTTCACTTGATAATCTTTAATTAAATTTGAGAAGGAAACACTCTGCTTATGGTGAGTTCTTTTTTTATTTTTTTTTATTTTTTTAAAGTTTTTTTTTAAATTTTTATTTATTTATGATAGTCACAGAGAGAGAAAGAGAGAGAGGCAGAGACATAGGCAGAGGGAGAAGCAGGCTCCATGCACCGGGAGCCCGATGTGGGATTCGATCCTGGGTCTCCAGGATCACGCCCTGGGCCAAAGGCAGGCGCCAAACCGCTGCGCCACCCAGGGATCCCCCTTTTTTTTTTTTTTTTAGATTTTATTTATTTATTCATGAGAGACACAGATGGAGAAAGAGAGGCAGACACAGGCAGAGGGAGAAGCAGGCTCCATGCAGGGAGCCTGATACTGGACTCGATCCTGGGACTCAATCCTGGAACTCGATCCTGGAACTCCAGGATCACACCCTGAGCCAAAGGCAGGTGCTAAACCGCTGAGCCACCCAGGGATCCCCATATGGTGAGTTCTTACATAACAAATATTTTAAAATACCTATTGTTAGAGATCTGTATTTGTCAAAGATATTGGATATATAAAATTATGTATTTTCTAGAATATAAAAAATTTAAAAAATTTATTTTTTATTATTAAAAAATAATCTTGAATATTTAAGTAGAAATCCAGAGTACATATAATACAATTAAATAATACCATAAAATTACAGTATAAATTTTATGAGAGATGAGGCATTACTATGACCTTATGGAAATAAAAAATGATTAGGAATACTATGAACAGGGATCCCTGGGTGGCACAGCGGTTTGGCGCCTGCCTTTGGCCCAGGGCCTGATCCTGGAGACCCGGGATCGAGTCCCACATCGGGCTCCCGGTGCATGGAGCCTGCTTCTCCCTCTGCCTGTGTCTCTGCCTCTCTCTCTCTCTCTCTTTCTCTCTCTCTCTCTCTCTCTGTGTGTGTGTGTGACTATCATAAATAAATAAAAATTAAAAAAAAAAAAACCTCTTAATAAAAGTTTGACCTGGTATCTTCATTAGAATACTACCAAACATTAAAGAGTGAGTACCAATGCTTTTCAAACTCTTCCAAATAATAGAAGAGGAAAAAAAAAACTTTCTAATCATTCTGTAAAGCTAGAATTATCATGATAGGAAAGACAAAGACATCACACACACATGCACATGAAACAATAGACCAATGTACCTTATGAATATAGATGTAAAAATTCTCAACTAAGTTATAGCAAACTGAATCCAACAGCATATTAAAAGATTTATACACTACGACCAAGCAGGATTTATCCCAAGAACTCAGGGTGGTTCAACCCCAAAATATCAACCAATGCAATACCATCACATTAATTGAATGAAGGAGGTAAAAAGTACATGTTAATCTCAATTGACATTAAAAAAAAACAAAACCCTCATTTGACACCTTTTCATAATAAAAACTCTCAGAAAACAAGGGATAGAAGGGAACTTCCTCAACATGATAAAGAACATTTATGAAAAACCCATAGCAAATATCATATTCAGTGGTGAAAGACTAAAATTTCTAAGATTAGGAACAAGACAAGGATACCCACTTTCACCACTAATATTCAACGTTATGCCAAAAGTTCTAGCCAGAGCAAAAATAAGAAAGGCATCCAAAATTTCATTTGTCAATTTTACCTCAATAAAATTGGAGTAGGGAGAGAGATCCAAATTGGAAAGGAAGAAGTAAAACTATTTGAAAATGACATAATTCTACATATAGAAAATCCCAAAGAATTCATATAAAAGCTACTAAAGCTAGTAAATTCACTGTTTCAGGGTTCAGTGAAAACATGAAACACAACATGAAAATCAGTTGTTTCTATTTAGCAGCAGTGAACAATCTGAAAATAAAATTAATAGGACAATTCCATTTATAGTGGTGTCTGTTTGGCTCAGTTGGTAGAGAATGCAACTCTCGATCCTGAGGTCGTGAGTTCAAGCCCCACGTTGGGCATGGAGCCTACTTAATAAACAATGACAATTCACTTTACAATAGCATCCAAAAAAATAAAATACCTCTGAGTAAATTTAGCTCAGGAGGTGAAAGACTTGTACATTGAAAACTACAAAACATTTCTGAAAGAAATTAATGAAGTCTTGATAAATAGAAAGCTCTCCCATGCTCATGGATTGGAAGACTTAGTATTGTTGAAATGTCCATACTACCCAAAGCAATCTACAGAGTCTATGTAATCCCTATTAAAATACCAATGGCTTTTTTTTTTTCCAGAAACAGAAAAGTTGTCTTTCAAATTCATATGGAGTTGCAAAAGGTCCTGAGTGGCCAGAACCATTGAAAAAAAAGTTGGAGGACCTCCAAATCCCAATTTCAAAAACTTACTACTAAGATACAGTAACTATGTGGCGTTGGAATTAGGATAGACATATAGAACAATGGAATGAAACTGAGAATGCAGGATAAATTCAAATATCTATGACAAATTGATTTTTGACAAGGGTGCCAAGGCCTTTCAGTGAGAGAAGGAATAGTCTTTTTAACAAATGGTGCTGGGACAACTAGATAATCACATGCAAAAGAATGAAGTTGGACCTCTGCCTCACACCATAACAAAAATTAGCTCAAAAATAGATCTACAACCTAAATTTAATAGCCAAAACTATAAAACTCTTAGAAGAAAACATATGGGTAAATTTTCCTGCCTTGGATTTTACAGTGGATCCTTAGGTATGACTCTAATAGCAAGAACAGTAGCAGCAGGGGAAAAAAGATACATTGATTTGATTAAAATTCAAAACTTTGTGCATCAAAGTACATTATCAGGAAAGTGGAAGACAATCTACAGAATGGGAGAATATATTTGCAAATTATATCTAGAATTCAGAATATATAGAGCTCTTACAACTCAAAACTAAAAAGACAAATAATGCAGTAAAAAAAAAAGGGGGGAGCGAAAGATTCAGACATGTCTCCAGAGAAAGTATACAGATGTCACCAAGTACATGCAAAGATGCTTACATCATTAGTCATTAGGGAAAGTAGATTAAAACCATAATAAGATACCATTTCACAACCACAAGGATGGATATTTTAAAATGTTGGGGAGAAAGTAAAGAAATTGGAACCCTTAATGTTGCTGGCAAGAATGTAAAATGGTCCAGTCCCTATGGAAAATATTTGGTAGTTTCTCAGTAAGTTACATATATAATTACTATAAGACCCAGAAAAATTCCACTCCACGGTTTATACCCTAAACATTGAGAACAGGTACTCAAATGAATACCTTTACATAAATGTTCACAACAGCTAAAATGAAGAAACAACCCAAATGAGGGAATTTGTTGTTTCAAAATACTGCAGACAGTCCCTTCAGGCTGAAGTGAAAGGATACCAGACAGAACCTCAAATCCACATGAAGAAACAAAGAGAACCAACAAAGTTAACTACATAGGAAAATAGTATAAATGTGTTTTATCTGTAATTATTTTTTCCTATCTAAGAGACAACCACATAAAGTGATAATTATGAATCTATGTTGTTGGGCATACATATATTAAGGTATAATTTGCATGATAATAATATGCAAAGAAGGATGAATAGGAGCTATTAGGATCAAAGTTTTTATTTTTTAAAAAATTATTTTTTTAAAAGATTTTATTTGAGAGAGAAAATGAGTGGAGAGAGGGAAGGGGCAGACACAGACTCCCTGCTGAGTAGGGAGCTCAATATGGGACTCCATCCAAGGACCCTGGGATCAAGGCAAATGCTTAACCAACTGAGCCACCCAGGTGCCCCAGGAACAAAACTTGTAAAATACTTTTGTAATTAATGTGGTATCAATCCAAACTAAGTTATTATACATTAAAATCTTTTAATTCCCATATTAACTACTAAGAAAACATTTCCAAATATTTGGTCAATGTGAGTTCTTTGGAAGCTATCTCTCAAGGATCTCCTGGTTTTAGCATTCTATGAGTCTGATGTTTTTTGTTTTTTGTTTGTAAGATTTTATTTATTCATGAGCGAGACACAGAGAGAGGCAGAGACACAGGCAGAGGGAGAAGCAGGCTCCGTGCAGGGAGCCTGAAGCAGGACTCAATCCTGGGACCCCAAGGATCACGCCCTGGGCCAAAGGCAGGCGCTAAACCACTGAGCCACCCAGGGATCCCGAGTCCGATGTTCTAAGTTCCCCAGACTGTGCATTCTGATTGTCAGCTGTCTGTAAGGGTGATTGGGGCTGACACTAAAGTTATTTAATTCTAGTGTAAATTTGTGAGTTCTAATGTAAATTTTGGTATTTATGCAGCAAGGCATTCAAGAAAATCCAATCTTGCCCAGCTTGACATCTCTTATTGTGACCAGAATTATCATTTCTTCTTTTAAGGAGAAGACCAGAGGAAGGACAGAATGAAAGTTTTATCTACTCTCATGTCTTTGCTTTTCTCTCTCTTAAAATATTGGACTTAACCTCTAAATCTTAGTTACCCAAGGGTGTTGCTTTTCTCCTTAAAGGAGAAAGCAGATGTCAGAGGAATCCTCCTTCAACCTCTGTAAGTCAGCCTCCTTGATAAAAAGCTCTGTGCCCCACTGTTCCTCTCAGACGAAGGGTTGGGCATTTCACGTGGGTGTCACTCAAATCTTCTAACATGTAATGGGACCAAAGATTTAAGCATATTGCTAAAGCATGAAAGCTAAAAGAAAGCTGGAAGCTAAAGAAAGTTGTTTGAGAGAATAATACCCATTCAAGGATCAGTAAGCCATCTGCTGGAAGGATTTTTCACCCATCCCCTTCCTCCTCTTCCTCATCAGGCTTTTTGTTCTTTGGCCGAGGGTAACCCTCATCTGTGGTCATGTGATCTGAATGCTGTGGCTACTTGATACTGAGAACTTTCCACCTAATACTTGCCCAGGCCAGGAAGAACACTCTCCCCTCAGTGGGTGTCTGTTCTGCAATTGTGTGAATGGCATCACTTCTGGGAGTATAGGGAGGGATGGAAGAAATGGAGGAGCAAATAGTGGAGGAGTCCCTGGAGGGAAGATCTAACCAGGAGGAAGCATTCTGAGGAGGTTACTCCTATCTTGGCTACCTTCAGCCCCCTGACTGAGAGAAGGGAGAATAAAAATCAAGACTTACAGAATTTCGGAGCAGAGATGGCATTCACTGCTGTAAGTCACCTGGTCACTGCCACATATGGGTTCACTTGGCTTGATGTAAGAGAAAATCCAGCACTTATTTATATTCTCACTGCACTTCACCTGAAGGTGAGACACAGATTAGAGATGCCTTCCTCTAGGTCCTCTGACCATTGTCACTGGTAGTAGGGTAGGGGAATTGAAGAAGGAATGCTAGATCAGGCATTTAGAGGACAGTCTTTAGCAGCTTCAGTGTTTGGCCCCTGGCACTTACGCAACAATATGAATATAATATATATCATCACCTAACATGTGAGCTGTGAACTCCCTAGTCTGAGCTCTAAGTTCCTCATTAGGATGAAAATCTCTGCCCAAGCAACCACAAAATGCGATCATTAGATTACAGAAAGGAGAATATCTTTATGGTTAGACTTTTCTTATTAACATTACTGAGTGACTTGTATGTGGTGTTTCACACAACAGTGGCATCAAGCTTGTCACAGCAGAGGTGGGATGTAGAAGGAAGGGGACAGAGAGACTATTTGTGAAGCATTAGTATGTGAGAGGCAGGATGGACATTTTGGCATATCTTGACTAAAAGAATGTCCATTGCCAGCATACGACAGATGTGAAGTTGAGCCATGACTTCAACACCCATTAATGATTCAAAATACTCGGCTTCAAAAAAAATTAAAAAAAAAAATACTCGGCTTCTATCCCACAAGAGAGTATGAGCTGATTGGGATAATGCATGGGAAGAGGGCTCAGGAACATATGAAATGTGCTACGTAACTGATGACCCAAATTTTATTGTGGTGTTATTCCCATACAAGCCCCCTCTGCCTCCACCTCTCAAAAGAAAGATCTGGGGCTATCAAGGAAACTGGCTTTCAAGGAACATTCTTGTTCTTGGGAACCAAGGAGATAGAGCTTACTTTTGTCTCTTGGAGGCGAGCTCCTGCGCCTGTAGGAAGAGGGAAATCTGGAAGACAAAAACACATTCACAAGAGTTGCTCCTCTGTCTTCTGACCTTAGGGGGGAAAGCTAGGATGAGGGAAACCCTGGTTGGTACAAAGAAAGCATCAGATCCCATCAGGAGGGGCTGTGGTTCCTCTGTGATGCATGCTGCCCTCTAAAGAAGTGAAGAAATGGGAAACTTCTGCCCTGTCCCTCATGTAAAATGGAGATCTTAATCCCTGCCCTTCCACAGGTAAATAACAACTTCTATAATCCTTCTTAGTTGTTTTTAGAAAACACTCTCTAAATGACAAATTACCATGAAATAGTTAGATGGAAATACTTTAGAAGATGCTGAGTTTCATTAAGGCTTCCATATATTTTCTTTCCTTTTTTCTTTCCTTCCTTTTCTTTCCTTCCTTCTTTTCTTTTCCTTCTTTCTTTCTTTTTTCTTTCTTTCTTTCTTTCTTTTTCTTTCTTTCTTTTTTAGATCTTATTTATTTATTCATGAGAGACACAGAGTGGCAGAGACATAGGCAGAGGGAGCCTGATGCAGGACTCCATCCTGGGACCCTCGGGGACCAGACCTAAGCCAAAGGCAGAGCCACCCAGCTGCCCCCATATATTTTCTTTCTTTTTTAAAATTGTAGTGTATTAACATACAATGTTATATTGATTTCAAGGGCATATATATTCTTGATCCAAAGCTGTCTTTGCAATTATTCATATACAGTTGACTCTTGAACAACACGTGTGAACTGTACAGGTCCACTTATGTGTGGATTTTTTCCAATAAATACAGCACTGTACTATAAATGTATTTTCCTTATGATTTTCTTAATAACATTTTCTTTTCTCTAGCTTACTTTATTTTAAGAATATAACAGATAGGGGCGCCTGGCTGGCTCAGTTGGCTAAACATCTGCCTTTGGCTCAGGTCAGGGGATCAAGCCCCGCATGGGGCTCCCTGCTCAGCCGGGAGCCTGCTTGTTCCTCTTCCTCTGCTCCCCACTGCCCATGCTCTTTCTCAAATAAATAAATAAAATCTTAAAAAAAGAATACAATACATAATACATATAACATACAAAATATATATTATATTAATCGACTGTTTATGTTATTGGTAAGGCTTCCAGTCAACATTAGGCTATTGGTAGTTAAGTTTTGGGGGGCCAAAAATTATACATAGACATTTGACTGTATGTGGGAGTGACCCTTGCCTCACATTATTCAAGGATCAACTGTATATGTATATAATACTTTATTATATATAATTACCTGATATCATGATTATTATATATAATATGTATGATACATTATCAGCTGTTTACATATAGCAGCTTTATTAAGATATAATTCACATACCAGAGAATTCACCCATTTGAAGTGTACAGTAGTTTCTAGTATATTCACAGAGTTGGGCTGCATTACCACAGTTTTAGATCATTTTCATCACCCCAGAAAGAAACCCTGTACCCATCAGCAGTCACTTTTCATTCTTCCCTCAACAACCCCTCCATTCCCCTATCCCAGATAACCTCTAATCTACTTTCCATCCTTTCTGGACACTTTATATAAATAGAATCATACAATACATAGTCTTCTGTATCTTTCACTTAGCACCATGTTTGAAAGGTTTATCCATGTTACAGTATGCATCAGTACTTCTTTTTTATGGCTAAATTTCATATTCCATTGGATGTATATACCATATTTCACTTATTCATTAATCAATTCATAGACATTTAAACTGTTTTCATTTTTAGGCTATTATGGGTAGGGTTACTAGGAACATTTATTTATACACATTCTTTGTGTGGTCATGTGTTTTTATTTCTCTTTCGTATACGCCTAAGAGTGGAATTCTTGGGTCATATGGTTACCTTTAGAGAAACTACTAGACCATTTTCCAAAGAACCCGAGCCATTTTGCATTCCCAGGGACAATGTACGAGGGTTCTAATTTTTCACATTCTTGCCAACCCTTGTTTTCTCCCTTTTTTATTATAGCCAGCACAGTGGGTATGAAGTGGTATCTCACTGTGGTTTTGAATAATATTCCCTAATGACCAATGATGTTGAACATCCTTCCGTGCACTTATTAACCATTACCTTGGAGAAATGTCTGTTCAGTTGCTTTGGCTTTTTTTTTTTTTTACTTTGCCTATTTAAAAAAAAATTGGCTTATTTGTCTTTTTATTATTTTTTAAAAGATTTTATTTATTTATTCATAGAGACAGAGAGAGAGGCAGAGACGCAGGCAGAGGGAGAAGCAGGCATCACACAGAGAGCCTGATGCGGGACTGGATCCGGGGTCTCCAGGATCACGCCCTGTGCTGCAGGCGGCACTAAACCGCTGCGCCACCGGGGCTGCCCTTGTCTTTTTATTATTGCATTGTAAGAGTTCCTTATATATTCTGGATACTAATGCATTAGCACTTGATGGATCTCTCCAGCCACATTTCTGTCCCACTGCAGGACCAGGGACCATGCCTGCCATATATCCAGGGTCTAGCCCAGTTTCTGGCCCACTCTCAGCAGATGGTATGTAGTTATTGGATGTAAATAAGTGGCTGCTAATGTCATCAGCGGGTCCCTTCCCTAACTCAGCACCAACCTCAAGTCTTAAATTCAGCCTAGAGAGAATTCAGAGTCAAACTCTCAAGTAAGCAAGAGTAGAATGGCAGTTAAAGGTTAAATACGCTGTCAAAATGCTAGAGCAGGCGAACCCAGATGTCACAACTGCACCAGAGTTAGGGGTGTTTTTCTTCTTTTTCTATGTTTGCATAGGTTAGGGGTCAACTAGGGAGCTCTCCCACAGGGGTTGTGTCCAATCACCTAAGGGACTCCTCCTACCAGTCAGCAGGGGGAGTTTTGGGTCCTATATAGTCCTTGTCAGATCTGTTCTGACAGCAATCCTCCACAAGGGGGGGTCAAGCCTGCAATGTAAATAATAATGAAACTACAGGTTACTGTAGTGCAGCGGTTTTGGGGAAGACTGCATGCGTATCCCTGGAGTCTTTTTCTAGCTGTTTGTGTTCTGGGGATGGTTGGTGGTTTCTTGATTTTTATCTTTTTACTGGTCAGAAAGTCTGGTTCCCTGCTCATATATCACTAACTGCCTACTCTCTCATTAGGAAACCCTAATTTTTGTGTTTATTATAGCAGATTTAAGATAAGATTTGTGCTAAAAAAGGACAATTCTTAAGCAGTATGGATGACAGATTAAAGGAAGTCAAGCTGGAGGCAAAGGAAACAGGAAGAATATAAACATTCTTTCAGGGAACAATGATGAAAACCTTCACTAAGGAAGAGTCATTTCTGTGAGAAGGGCATGCATTTACGTGATGTATGAAGTGTTTTATCAATTGAACATGAGTGATATGGGTACGCAGGTTAGAAACAGAGGGAAAATATAAGGCCATAAAAATGGGAGGGAACGGACAGAATTATTTTCAAGAAAGATGAAGTGATCTACCTTGGTTGAGTAATGGTATGTTCCTCACAAAGGGTCGGCCCAACACTTAGCCAGAAGGTCACATGGTGTGCCTGCAGGAGGGCTGATGCCAGTGGGTGGTGTTCTCAGTAGCAGTGGGAATGAAGATGAAGTGAAAGATGAGAAAGTATAAGAATAAATCTGGATTTCTTTAGAGAGGATTAAGTGTAATAGGAAAGAGGAGATGTGATATAATAAGAAATAGAAAAAAAATAAGAAATAGATATTTGGTCTCAGTCTCCAATTCTTGGCACAAAACTCCAATAACTCTTGTAATTTCCTGAGTGATGAGGAGAGGAGTGTCTTTTGTTATTCATAATAAGCCCCTTTCCACCACATCGGGTTTATGCTCATGAGGTGGCTCTTGAAGATGGGGCTTGTTGGGATCCCTGGGTGGCGCAGCGGTTTGGCGCCTGCCTTTGGCCCAGGGCGTGATCCTGGAGACCCGGGATCGAATCCCACGTCGGGCTCCCGGTGCATGGAGCCTGCTTCTCCCTCTGCCTGTGTCTCTGCCTCTCTCTCTCTCATTCTATGTGACTATCATAAATAAATAAAAATTAAAAAAATTTTAAAAAAAAGAAGATGGGGCTTGTTGCTAGAGAAGCAAACAACATGATTAGAGAATTGGAACCTTCAGCCCCACCCCTCAGCCTTTGGAGACAAGAAGAGCTGGAGACTGAATTAATCACCAATGGCCATTGATTCAATCAGTCGAGCCTTCGTGGAATTCTATAAAATTTCTAGACATGAGACACTCCATTTTGAAGCTCTCCTTTTCTTTCTAATTCCTGAACTCTTGAACTGAGCCAGAAGTGGTCATTGTATTGCAAACAGTTGCTTATAAAACCAACAGAACAAACTGGTCCTTGGACCATAAAACTGTTTATATGACCTTTATGAAGACAAACATTAACTAGTGCATCCCCAGAGGAAGTTTGTTTGATAACACCTATAAAATAATCAACTAGGTAGTAATCAAAGTCAGCTCAACCAGTTAGCACTGAATTAAGTTTTTTTTTTTCTTTTCTCGCCTGTATCTATGTCAAGTAGTTACCCTCCTTCTTTCTCACAACAACCTTTTATGTTCCCATGTGAGCAGGACACTTTTCTGGTTACTCTGGAAACCGTGCTTGCCAAATTGCAATTCTGAGACCTCAGATGGAGGCCTTTGTTCTTTTTCAGTTTTCCCTCTTTTTCTCAGTTGACACCTTCATAATGGAACCTCCATAAAAATCCTAGACCAAGAGGTTTGGAGAGTATCCCATCCAGGTTGAACACACTGAGGTGCTGGGAGGGTGACCACCCAGAGGGCATGGAAGCTCTGTGCCCCTTCCCACACACCTTGCTCATTGCATCTCTTCCATTTGGCTGTTTCTGAGTTGTGTCCTTTATAATAAATTGGTGATAATAAGTAAAGCACTATCCTGAGTTTTGTGAGCCATTCTAGCAAATTATTGAACTTGAAGAGGAGGTCAAGGGAACTCCTGACTTATAGCTAGTTAGTTAGAAGTACTGGAGGTCCAGTCTTGTGACTGCTATCTGAAGTAGGGGCAATCTTGTAGGACTGAGTCTCTTAACCTGTGGTGTTTAGATGAATGCCAGGTAGTGGCGTCCTAATTGTATTAAATTTTGGAATACCCAATTGGTATCTACAGAAAATGGGAGGATTGCTTGGTGTGGAAAACCCACATATTTGGTGTCAAAAGTGTTGGCATAGAAGGAAATAGCTTTTCCTTCAATAGAAAAAGAAAAATATTTTCCCCCATAAGATATGAGAGGCATGAAGAATAGTTTTCAATTTGTTACAGAGCGTCTTAGGATGTGAGGGGCTTGGGAGGCACCTGGGTGGCTCAGTGGTTGAGTGTCTGCCTTTGGCCCAGGTCATGATCTTAGGGTCCTGGGACCCAGTCCTGCATTGGGCTCCCCTCAGGGAACCTGCTTCTCCCTCTGCTTATTTCTCTGCCATTCTTTGTATCTCTCGTAAATAAATAAATAAAATCTTAAAAAAAAAAAAAAAGACGAGAGAGGCTTGAAAAAAATGTTGTAAGTGAGAGAAAGCACCAATAAAAAGTAAAAAATTGAAGGTAAATGAGAGTTTCAGAATCCAGATGGAAAAAGGACCTGTTGAGTGTATTGAGTGTAGAGGCCACTCTTAGGCAACAGGCTTGAGCAATGGAAATCTGAAGAAGGCAAGAGGGCCCATAGTGACCACCGACCACCAAGCTGACGCAAACAGGCTCATTAAGCAATCCACCTGAAATAGCCATAGGCCCTAAGTGACCAATTACAACCAGACACAGTTCCTAAAATTACCAAAAAAGGGAGGGTATATCCCCATACCTCCTCATTCTGCCCTGTAACTATAGCCCCTCACCACCACCTCCTGGCAGTCTCTCCTTCACTGTCTGCCTGATGCTTCCTTGAGGTGTATCTGATAAACTTTGATGTCTTTTTTTCTGCCTTCGTTGAACTCTTTCACCACTTGTACCTCGCCCCCCACCCAATCAGAATGTACCACATTGAGGCCCTCAGAGATTCCCCACAGTTAAGCCTGAATACTGTTTACTCTGAGGCCCTCAGAGATTCCCCATAGTTATGGATGAACACTGTTTACTCGAAAACCAGCCATTGACCAAAATAATATCTGACTCTATTTCCACAGAGCCTAATCAAATTCTTTTGGGTTTGAGAAATGTAAATATACAGACTCTGGAAATGAATGTTTCCAGAGTGACGACTGCCCTTTGGTTTAAATGCTTCCATAGTAATCAGGTATTGGAAAGTTCAGTGGTCCTGGGTTTGGAAGGTTTGGATTTGATTCCCAGCTTTGATACCAATGACATTGAGGGAATACTTTCTTCCTCTGGATTTCAGTTTGTACATGTGTAACAGAAAGAGATTAGAATTAAACAAAACTGAACAGCACTTCCACAGATACCTCTGATTTTCCTGTAACCCTGGATATACCACAGAAAATGTGAGCAGAGCAAGGATATGTAACTCACCAACTGCAAAGGCAGCCCACACGGAGATGACCAAAACAAGGACGACCTCCTTCATGGTGGCAGAGGAGCTATGAAAATATGCAGCCTTAGATGGTAGGATAGAGAAAGTTCCGTGTGAAGGCCACATTCTCACAGAGATCCCTCACTGACCAGGAAGTGAAGTCTAAATCCTTCAAGTTTGTTCTTTCCTCAGGTCATTTGGAATGAATTTTGTCTGATGCAATTAAATTGCTTAATTTATTTCCCTAGAATGATTGGACATTAGAAGAAAATAATCTTAAAAAAAAAAAAGGAATTTTAGAAGATGCCAGAAAAAGAGCTAGTAAATGCTATCTGTAGGGGATCATTTGGTAAAGAACAGGCATCAAAAACGTTTAAAAGTTGATATTTATCTCTGAGGTAAGAAGGGCAGTCTCTAGGAAGTTCGGTGTCACGTGTTAATTCAACAAACAACAAAAGACAGGAAGGGACAAAACAATACTCACTTTCATTTCTTTTTTTTTTTTTTAATTATTTATTTATGATAGTCACACAGAGAGAGAGAGAGGCAGAGACAAGGCAGAGACATAGGCAGAGGGAGAAGCAGGCTCCATGCACCGGGAGCCCGACGTGGGATTCGATCCCGGGTCTCCAGGATCGCGCCCTGGGCCAAAGGCAGGCGCCAAACCGCTGCACCACCCAGGGATCCCCTCACTTTCATTTCTTAATCTTCCATATTATTACTTTGGTGTTAATATTTAATAATCAATAACAGTACTGAAAAGAAAACCATGGAGTATTTACCAACAGCTTACTTGCATTATTGAAAATATTATAAAACAAGGCAGTTGACATTATTTGTCTGCAGGTTTTGATACATTTTCCTATACATTTTCCAGGCAAATTATATATTTAGGTCATTTCTTCCCAAGACCCTCCCTGTGTAAAAACAAATAAGAACTAATATAATCCATTTCCTACTCAAAAGTTTGCAAATTAGTATGTCCACTTTACCTGCTGTGACTCCCTTAGTTGCTGTGAAAAACAGGCTGGACGAGATATTTTTTATTTCCAATTTGTTGATAATGAAATGATTTGTGTGGGGGTGGGTGGGTGAGGGAGTAAATGTCTTTTCAAGACTGAGATGCCTGGCAGTAGAAGAGAATGAACTTTTTTGTTTTTTAAGATTTTTTAAAAAAATATTTTATTTATTCATGATAGAGAGAGAGAGAGGCAGAGACACAGATGGGGTGGTGGTGGTTTTGGGGGGGGGGGTTGGGGAGTAGGCTCCCAGCAAGAAGCCCGATGCAGGACTCCATCCCGATCCAGGATCACGCTCTGAGCCAAAGGTGATCAACAGCTGAGACAGGCGTCCCTGTTTTTAAAGATTTTTTTATTATTTTAGAGTTAACTCTATGCCCAGTGTGAGGCTCACACCCACAGTCTGGAGATCAAGTCAACACACTCCACCGACTGAGCCAGCCAGGTGCCCTGAAGAGAGGGGACTCTGAAGTTAGGAATGTGGTCACAACTCATACCTATTTCTTCCAACTCCAAGTTCTGTAATGCCTAAATCTGGTCAGTTTCTATTTTAATTTTTTGAGGGTGGTAAGTACTGTCCACTACCACTCCAGAATCTAGCTGTTCTTTTTTTTTTTTTTTTTAAGATTTTATTTATTTCTTTGACAGAGGGAGAGAGAGAGAGAGCACAAGCAGGGGGAGCAGTAGGCAGAGAGAGGGAGAAAAAAGCTCCCTGCTGAGTAGGGAGCCCAACAGGGGTTCGGGGCTCAATCTCAGGACCCTGGGATCATGACATGAGCGGAAGGCAGACGCTTAACCAACTGAGCCACCCAGGCACACCAAATCTAGTTTTTGCCAAACCTGGACCTAGCAGTGTAGAGAGGTGTCCTGCCCAAATTTGAATTCCTGTATTTTTATCTGTAGGCAATCATCGTATTCAGGACAGCTTTGGATATGTACAGAGTACTAAAAATTGCCACATCTGCATATGCAGTTACTTATTTTATCAGTAGTCAAAACTATGTATTCACTTTATTGAAACCTTTAATTTAGAATGTTTCTAATACTGACTCAGAATCTTAAAGTGGAAAGTTACCTTATATGGAATCTGCCATGTTCAGCCTTATTTAGTGGAGTTGAGGAATCTTAGGATGGAGTGCCAACTCTTTCTACCACTTGGAACAAAAGTCCCTCAAAACACCAGCTTTACAGGAAAAGTTCAGAGGTTACTGGTTATCATAAACTATTCTGTAGGTCCTAGTCCTGAATGAATGGCCTTAAGTAGGGACATGCCACCTAGTTCTGGGAGGTGGAGTATACTTTCTCAGTATTGGTTTTTTGTTTTGTTTTTTAAGTAAGTGTGCAGCCCAATGTGGAGCCCAACCTGGGATTTGAATTCACAACCCTGAGATAAAGACTCAAGCTGAAATCAAGAGCACTCAGGTGCCTCTACTTTCTCAGTACTGTTCTGATTGACCACAGTGTCTACCATGATAGTCTTCAAAATTTTTGCTTTCAATTCCTCTATATTTGGTGCCCACTTAGATTTTTTAAAAAATATTTTATTTATTTTATTTGACAGAGGGAAGGAGCAGGGGGGGAGAGAAAAGGAAGGAGAAAGAACCCCAAACAGACTCTGCATTGAGCATAGAGTCTGACTTGGGGCTTGATCCTATAACGCTAAGACAACAACTTGAGCTGAAACCAAGAGCCTGATGCTCAACCCACTGAGCCACCCAGGTGCCCCCACGTCACTTAGACTTTTTTTTTTTTAACTTTCTCTCTTTTAAAAAAAAGGATTTGGGATGCCTGGGTGGCTCAGCGGTTGAGTGTCTGCCTTCAGCCCAGGGCGTGATCCTGGAGTTCCAGGATCGAGTCCCACGTCAGGTTCCCTGCATGGGAACAAATGAACAGTGAAGGGAAAAAAGGAGACAGAGGCAAACCATAAATCAGACTCTTAACTATAGAGACCAGGCTGAGGGTTGCTGGAGGGGTGGTGGGTTGGGGGTAGGCTAAATAAGTGATGGGGATTAAGAAGGGCATTTGCTGTGATGAAGACTGGGTGTTGTACATAAGTGATGAATCACCAAATTCTACTCGAAACTAAATTTACAATGTGTGTTAGCTAACTGGAATTTAAATAAAAACTTGAAACTAAAAAGAAAAAGAAAGAAACCAAGTAAAACATTCACTAATGAGCGATAGTTGTCTTAAGACAAAATTAAATGAAATTTCCTAGAATTAATAGAGTCCAATAAGAGCATGAGTAAATATAAGGAAATAAATCAGGTCACCTGGCCAGCTCAGTCCATAGAGCATGTGATTCTTGATCTTGGTATTGTGAGTTCGAGCCCCACGTAGGGTGTAGAGATTACTTAAAAATAAAATTCTTAAAAGAAATAAATAGATCTTTATAAACCAACAAATAGTTTTGAAAATGAATTAAGGAATAGGAAAACACACCAATAAAACAAAGGTGAGAGGCCAATATTGGGAGTTTTATCTTCTAAGAAAAGGAAGCAATCAGATTGCTTAGTCTCCTCTGGAGATGGTGTCAGATGGTACACATGTAAGTCCACTGGAGGGAAGCTGTTTCACCAGACCAGATGGCAAAACAGGGAACTCCAGACCAAAGCGAAGAGGATGGAAAAGCTGAATCACAGCACTTCCACGAAGTAGGGAGACATGAGTGATGTCCAAGCAAAGCACAGAAACAGGCTTTAACATATCCAGAAATGCAAAAAAACAGATACAACCATATGTGAGTTATTTCTAGTAAACCAAGCATTAGAAAGAGACCAATTCTCAGCTGAGTCACAAAGAGCCTCTCCTTTCAGGCTTCTTTCCATGATAAGTGATTGTCACCATTAAATACTTCCTTGTCACCACCCACCCAACAGCTACCCAACTCACCTCTTCACTTCCATTCAGCGGCTAACTCATTCAAACCACCCACACCCTGAAGAAATTGATGAAGAATAGGGAAGAGAGGGAAAAAAAAAATAGCAGGGGTAGGAAATTATATTTAGGGGCAGAAATAACAATTAAAAACTATCCAAAAGGATCATTTGAATCTCTGTTCCTCCAAACTTACATCGTTACATGTTCAATTATATACTGAAGAAAAGAAAATGGGTGGATTCTCGCTGATCACAAGCACTTTGAGTGTGAGAGACACTTACTGTATCCTTAATTTATCGGGCTCTGAGGCAGAGAGAACAAAAAAGAATCTCCCAGTACATGCTATCGAAGTATGAGAACGCAAAGATTTTATTCCTTTTAATATGAGCAGAAAAATTATAAAGTTTCTAATATTTGTATATAAAAGCAGACATTTTTGTAAAAGATGACACAGGAAAATGTAGAATTCTAAAATACTTTTTTTTTAAAGATTTTATTTATTTATTCATGAGAGAGAGAGAGAGGCAGAGACGCAGGCAGAGGGAGAAGCAGGCAGAGGGAGAAGCAGTCTCCACGCAGGGAGCCCAACGCGGGATTCGATCCTGGGTCTCCAGGATCATGCCCTGAGCCAAGGCGGTGCTAAACCCCTGAGCCACCGGGCTGCCACTAAAATACTTTTGAAACGGGTATCCCAGGGGGCCCTGGGTGGCTCAGCGGTTTAGCCCCGCCTTCGGCCCAGGGCGTGATCCTAGACACCCGGGATGGAGTCCACGTCAGGTTCCCCACACCGGGCCTGCTTCTCCCTCTGCCTGTGTCTGCCTCTCTCTCTCTCTCTCTCTCTGTCTCTCATGAATAAATAAAATCTTAAAAAAAATAAATAAAATCTTTTTTAAAAAATAAAAAGTAAATAAAACAGGTATCCCTGGGGCACCTGGGTGGCTCAGTGGATTAAATGTCTACATTTGGCTCAGATCATGTTCCCAGGGGCCTGGGATCAAGCCCGGAGTCAAGCTCTCTGTTCAGCAGGGAGTCTACTTCTCCCTCTCCCTCTAACCCTCTCCCCTGCTCATTCTCTCTCTCTTAAGCTTTCTCAAGTAAATAAAATCTTTATTTTTAATTTTTTTATATTTCTTTATTCATGAGAGACGGGGGGGGGGGCAGAGACACAGGCAGAGAGACAAGCAGGCTCCATGCAGGGAGTCGTGGGACTCCATCCCAGTATCAACCCCCCCACCCCCCCCACCCCCCCCA